CAGATCAGCTCTCTGTACCTCACTGTCTGTGTTGGAGAAAGAAGCTGTCCTAAACAGTCCTACCTGTCTTTTGAACTCAAGGTCCTCACTGTCACTGTGTACCAAATCCTTTCCCCAAACTCAGTACCTGGCCCAGGTTGGGTCAAGTGTTAACTTCTAGTCTAAACAGCTGCGGCCAGAGGACTGAGGTTACTTCCCTATTACTCACTGAGCAGGCCCACCCTATCCCTTAGGGACAGCTAAGTGTGTAAATGAATCTCTACTTGGTAGATGCTGCTGGGTGATGGGCCTAAAGAGCACCATGGGTCACTCCTTATCTGCCCGTCTTGGCCTCCCAAAGTGCTGGGGTTACAGGCATGAGCCATCATGCTAGCCTAATTCTATTGATTTTTTTTCTTTAACTTTAAATTCCAGAGTACATGTATAGAATATGCTGGTTTGTTAGATAGGTAAATGGGTGCCATGGTGGTTTGCTGCACAGATCCACTCATTACCTAGGTATTAAGCCCAGCGTCCAGTAGCTACCCCACCTGGTGCTCTCCCTCCTACTTCTGCCCCCTCCTTTCTATCCCTCCCACCACAGGCCCCAGTGTGTATTGTTTCCCCCATCCCCCTGTGTCCATGTATTCTTATCGTTCAGCTCCCACTCCTAAGTGAGAATATGCACTGTTTGGTTTTCTGTTTCTCCATTCTTTCCCATTGTGTGGGAACTATTCTAATGAGAAGCTGTAAGAAAGTTTAAAATCCAGAAACTAGATAATCAGTTCTTTAAAAATAGATGTCTGATTGCATTGAGTATAATTTCACATATACTTATAATTTTTGAATCTATTTCACATGTCCATTATTTATGTGGAACATTTTTATGTATAAAAATCCAACTGGAAATTCCATGGCAAAAATCATACAGATCAATTTCACATCAAATCCTACTTTGCCTTGGCAATGTTCAATTTCTTTCCTTAACAAAAAATACGACCTAGTATTGCCTCTGCGTTTCTGCCAAGAACCCTGGGATCCGACACAGAAGTCTGGGAACTCTGTTCATGAGTGTACTTTAACTCAGAAAGCAATGTGTTTTCCCAGACTTCAGGCTCCTCAGATTTACCTCGGAATTTCTCCTTTGGATTGCACTCTCTGCTAAAACAGCTGCGGATGACTTAGAAACAAACATAGAAAAAGGAGGGGGGAAAAGGAAGAAGAGAAGAGAAAGAGGAAGGAGAAAAGGAAGATGGAGCAGGAGAGGAATGAAAAGCAGCAGTAGAAGAAATTAAACCAAAACAAAGGATTCTGTCTGCAGTTGTTTTCTCCAGGCTCTGTGTTTTGCCGAATCAGATACTGAAAAAGGAGGACCTGTGATGTCTCAAGCTCTGTCTCCCTCTGGTGACCAATCTTACTATCACTAGACTGCAGCACAGGCTGTGGTAATCCCTGTTTTTCTTCTGAGCAGCAGAGGCCACACTGTTTAAAACAAGCAAAAATTTCTCAGTCTTTCCCTTTGAGGACTCTAAGGTTAACCTCAGCTGGGGTAGCAGAATATAACCTGACTCACAGCAACATGCTCTGCATCCAACTGCCTGGGTTTGAGCGTCAGCTCCACTGTTTACTCTGAGGCATCCAGTGCATGATTGAAACTGTGTCTCTATTTCCTTATCTGTAAAATGAGGAGGAGAGTGCAAGTTCCTCAGAGGTTATTGTGAGGAATAAACAAGATACCCCACGTTGGCAGTTTGCACTGCGCCTGGCAGAGAGAAGGCACATTGCTGTCGTATTGATTTGGGTCTTCCCAGGATTTGGCTCTGGAAGCAGAATCTTTGAAGACACTTTTAAGCATTAGGGAGCACAGCTTTTCCAACAAGGCCAAAGCATCTGGAAATGAGGCATTAGCCGGAAAAGGAGGGGTGTGTCTGTTAGGAGTCAGTATCCACATAGGAATTCACAGCTAATTTTTTCAAATCAGATCCTAGAAAGTAAAAACATAAGAAAAACGTAACATCTTTTTCAGACACTAGTCACGAGAAGAATTCAAGAGTTTCTATCTCAGGGAGATTCTAGAGTCTGACTCTTCAGGCCAAATTATGATTCTATTACTCTTCAACTTTTTGACTTTGGGCAAATTACTTGGCTTTTTCTGAGCCTTAGTTTCTTTCTCTGTAAAATGGGAATCAGGCTTGCTCCTCCCCTCACACAATGTTCCTATGATGATAAACAAGACCACCTGCATGAAACACCTAGCAAATACTTGCTCAGCCCTCCATATATATGTTATGTATCAACTCCCATCCAAGCTGATCTTCTCACTCTGAGTAAATTTGAATCCAGTATCAAGGGAGAAAACTCACTAACTGTAATTACTGAAGCAATGGGGTTAGAAGGAATTCCATGTCCCTTTACAAAAGAGATTTTCAGAATTGGCTGCAAGTTGGAATTGCCTGGAGAGCTTTAAAAAATGTCAAAGCTGGGGCCCCACCCTCCAAGGGTCTGATGTAATTGATCTGGGGTGTGTCCTGGCATGGAGATTTATGGAAGCTCTCCAGATGATGATGATGATGATGACGTACAGCCAAGGTTGAGAACTACTGCCTTAAGAATACCTTTCTATACACTTGCATGCTGTTAAATATTTAGATTCCCCCCCCTTCACTCTCATGCAAAATTTGCTAAGCTATACAAGCTAAAAGCAACTTAAGTACAGAGTAGACTTGGAATTGGGGCAGTTTGACTGGCTTTCAAGGATCAGAAAAACAATAGGTAAGGACATGCAAGCTGCAACAAGTATTTTTGCAAATGGTCATCCTCTTCAGAACTGTAAACCTGACCCCATTCTCTTTGAAATCCCTTTCATTTACACAGGGGGCTGAAGTCCTCTGCCATCCATCGGAAATCCCAAACCTAGGTCATCATACACAGACATATGCACATGATCTCAAGTCAACAGTCAACACTAAGGAAAGCCTTAAAAGGGTTGTCTTTGTGAAAAGAGGTGAAGGCACTCATAGGAAAGGGATGGGCTGGGCTGGGCTGGGGTCAGTGGGAAGAATCTGCCTCTACAACAATGGCAAGGGACTTAGAAGGAAGCCACTAGTGTTCTATTTGTCCAGGGTCCAGAGCCTTTCTGGGAATAACTTAAGGGTCAGGCAGTGGCTATGAGTCAGCCCAAGAACCCAGTGATGTTCTTGGGTGAGTGGGGATCTGAGGGGGGTGCTGGGGAAGTACAGTGAGCAAGGGCTCCCTTTCCAGGCAAGGAGGTAGGTGCAGGAAGAAGTCACCTTGAGGGGAGAGAGGTAGGGCATATCTAAGGAGTCTGGGGATCACATTAGCAATTAGAGGAGAGCTTTCAGGGACAATCCTGCAGTGTCACTGCCTCATTTTCCCTCTGGAGCCAGACTACCTGGGTTTGAATCCCAGTTATGCCATAGTGGGACCTGGGCATGCCACTCAACCTCTCAACGCCTGGGTTTTCCCACTCGTAAAATGGGGATGGTAATAGCACTCACCTAACAGAGTTGTTGATGAAAGACTTAAACATCAATTAATGCAATTAAATGTAATTAATGTCAAGTGCTTTAAATAGTGCTTAGGACATACTAAGGACCATGTTCAGTGTTAATAATTATTTCTGCTCTAGTGCTGAAGAAATATTTTTAGTTCTTAAGTAAATGAAATCATGTTTTAAAACCTAAATGTCTGCAACAAACGGGGCTGTACCAAAAAAAAAAAAACAAAAAAAAAAAACCACAACCACAACAACAACAAAACCAACCAAACGAAAAAACAACTAAGAGCAAAATCCTTAGCTTGGGAGGATTCTCACACTTGTGCAGTAAGAACCTTTCCTTTAAGTTCAGCAGTGGAGGTGTCGGAAGGAGGCAATGGCTGAGATCAAGCCAGGAAAATAATGCCAATGTCAGGCCAAAGCCAGCTGGTGTCCTCCAAAGGGACAGCAGGGGATGCTGCAGGAACAAATGCAGGCCGAGCTGTATCCCTTCTGCCTCACAGGAAGATGTTATGTGCTTCACAGAGAATGCCGCTGCCCTGCATTTCTGGGATAGGATTTTGTTGTTAGCAATTTTGTAATAGGGATGATTAAAACTAGTTCTCTCTATTGCCAGGTCTTATAGCCTTTTGTTGTTGTTGTTGTTGACTTCAGTTATTGAGCAGCTGGCCCCTGAAGCATGAGGTCTATCAAACCTGGAGGCAGGGTGCTCCCATCTTTGAGGGCAATTCTGCTCAAATTTTCAAGACCAACTACAAGGGTCTTGGAAGCTTTTGGAATGTGATATAAGGTGAAGCCCCTAAGGGGAGGCTGAGGCTCTCATTACTTCCTGTGACAAACTCACAGACTCTGTGACTTGTCTGACATTGCTATGGGGAAAGCAGGGCTGGGACACTGTTGGTTCCCAGGCTTGGACAGGAGAGTTAGGGTGTTAGAGTAACTGATTCTAGGTCCAGCAAAGCCATGATTTCGCCCATGAAATGTAAGCATTAGTAAACACCCAAAATAACTTCAGTCCTGAGAAGATTCCAGAAATGGTAAGAGTTAGATTCAAAGTGTAGCAGGATAAAAGGAAAAGCTATTTCAGGGTCCCTGTTAATGAGGACATCAAAGTTTTTCCAGAAAAGGCTTTTCAAATGGCTTCAAAGTTTTAAAAATTAATTAACATTTTACATTTAGCGTTCCACGAATTTCACATCTGCCACTGATTTTCTTACTAATTGGAAAAGCTGTTGGTGGAGGAATTGTTAGGAGATGTTTGCACAGCACAAATTAGGGCTTAATTAGAAGGCAGGGTGTATGCTAATGAGCAGCAAGGCTGATCCATCAGTATTTACACCAGCAGAAGGCTCTTCCTCCTCATGGTTCTTTGAGCTGCTTTCTATTAGAATCCTAGATGAGTGTAGATTTAAATCCTCTTTGATAGTTTGTTGGGAGTTGTTTGAAACTATGCAATCTTCAAAGAGGTGACTCACCTTCAGAAGTCTTTTAGCTTCAAAATCCAATGGAGAAAATTAGAGCCACCCGGGACTTCACCCAGCTCAACGAGCTGCAATGCCGCTTTCCCCGGCACCTGGTGGTCCTTGACTTCCCTTGCAACCAATTTGGACATCAGGAGAACGGTCAGAATGAGGAGATCCTGAACAGTCTCAAGTATGTCCACTCTGGGGGTGGATACCAGCCCACCTTCACCCTTGTCCAAAAATGTGAGGTGAATGGGCAGAACGAGCGTCCTGTCTTCGCCTATCTGAAGGACAAGCTCCCCTACCCTTATGATGACCCCTTTTCCCTCATGACCGATCCCAAGTTCATCACTTGGAGCCCCTTGTGCCGCTCAGATGTGGCCTAGAACTTTGAGAAGTTCCTCATAGGGCCGGAGGGAGAGCCCTTCCGACGCTACAGCCGCACCTTCCCAACCATCAACATGGAGCCTGACATCAAGCGCCTCCTTAAAGTTGCCATACAGATATGAGCTGCTCAGCACACAGTTCTCCAACTCCATCCAGTCCTGAGGAGCCTTAGGATTCAGCATGCCCTCAGGAGACTCTGCTGGACCTCAGCATTCCCTTGATATCAGTCCCCTTCACTGAAGAGCCTTGCCTTTCCCCTCTGCCCGTTTCCTTTTCCTCTTCCAACCCTCTGGTTGGTGACTCAACTAGGGCTTCAAGAATTGGGTAAGCTCTGGGCCTTCACAGAATGATGGTACCTCCTAAACCTTCAAGGGTGGTGTCTGAGAGGTGTGAAGGGCCTGGAGCCACCCTGCTAGAAGAGACCAATAAAGGGCAGATGTGGAAACACACCCCCCCCACACACACATAATTATATCTGTTCTCAGGTATAATCAGGTGAGATCTTGTACCACTTTCATAACCATCTGATAGATTTTAGAATGCCACAATTAAACATCTGAAAGCATCTCTTCTCTTTGTGAAATCCCCAGCGAAACAGGTAGGTAGCCCCAGCTATCATGGAGAACAAAGCAGGAGCCCAGCTTATTATTCCAGCTTATTATACCAAACACACAGTAATTTGTCATAGACAGTAACAGTGAAATGCAAGGTGTTCCACCTGCCCACAAGAAAGTAACTATCTTATTGAAGAAATAAAATATATACTGAAAGCCAATGCCAGGCAGGCTATGAACAGTTGTCAAAATGAGGAAGCTGTGAAGGTTTCTGACGCCAGAGACCCTGCCCCAGCCTCAGAAGATAGCCATGACATTGAAAAGAATCTGTAGCCCTTGAAACAATGTAGACGCAGTGAAATCCCTGTTGTCATGTGGTTCTGATTGCTTTGAATGCTTTCTGGAAGGAACGCCCCATCTGACATAGGTCATGTCAGAGGTCATGACTTAGGGTTCTCAGATGAAACCAGTATCTGGTTAATACAAAAATTGCCATTGTCCACTCTTGGCAAATCCCTGTCCACTGTCATCCAGACCATCCTGCAGCTACCTGCAACCTCCACAGACACTTCCTGATTACCCAACCCTGTGAGTCTTCCCTTGGGCTTTGTGGGTTTGGCTAACTCATGACAAGGTTCTTTAGCCTAGGGTGTCAGGAAGTTCTCAGCAATCACTTTCATCCTGCTTACCCCCATCGGGTATGTACCAATATTGTATACACCTGATCATTCCTTAGGTCAGGGGTTGTGAATCAAAGCTCACAAAAGCCAGGAAGTGACAAATGATTGCAAAAATGCTGGCAAGCTAGAGGGCACAAGCTCCTTCTGCAGAAATCAACCATCACTTGGTTCTAGCCACATGGGATCATGGACCTAGCACTGCCAGATCTTTCTGATTTTTCAAGAGAAACCCAAACACTGGATCTGTACAGAACATTTACCAAGTTTGAAAATGTTAACAACAAATTCAGAACTTAAAAAATCTGCAAGGGACATGGATGAACCTGGAAACCATCATTCTCAGCAAACTGACAGAAGAACAGAAGATCAAACACTGCATGTTCTCACTCATAGGCGGGTGTTGAACAATGAGAACACATGGACACAGGGAGGGGAGCACTACACACTGGGGTCAGTTGGGGGGAAATAGGGGAGGGACGGGGGGGGGTGGGGAGCTGGGGAGAGATAGCAAGGGGAGAGATGCCAGATGTAGGTGATGGGGAGGAAGGCAGCAAATCACACTGCCACGTGTGTACCTATGCAACAATCTTGCATGTTCTTCACATGTACCCCAAAACCTAAAATGCAATAAAATAAATAAATGGGAAAAAAATCTGCAAGTCAAATAAAATAACACACATACACACACACATGCAAAACTCATGCTACATTTATTTTACATGTGGTCTAGATTGCTGCTGCTGTAGGTTGATGGTCCCAGTCTCAAGAGATGTAAACCGAAAATACCAACAAGATGTAGAGATGGGCGATTTTGGGCTCAGCTGAGAGTCATAGGAGACTGAAAGAAGAAGCACCATGACAGCTGGGTGCGGTGGCTCATGCCTGTAATCCCAGCACTATGGGAGGCTGAGGTAGGCGGATCACCTGAAGTCAGGAGTTCAAGACCAGCCTGGCCAACATGGTGAAACCTCTTCACTAAAAATACAAAAAAATTAGCTGGGCATGGTGCCAGGCACCTGTAATCCCAGCTACTTGACTACTTGAGAGGCTAAGGCAGGAGAATTGCTTGAACCTGGGAGATGGTTGTTGTGGTGAGCTGAGATTTTGCCATTGCACTCCAGCCTGGGCCACAGAACAAGACTCCATCCCCCCAAAAAAAAAAAAAAAAGAAGCACCATGACAAATTTTCTGCTTTGTATTAAATACATGATATCTAGTGCCCTCTTTATTATTCATTTTTACTATTCAAAAATTGGAGGTTTAAAAAAATTATAAAATGCTTTCATGAATATATGAATACATTCTATTGATATAGTCCCATAGTGAGTTTCCATGTCCCTAGAAAGCTATTCCTGGCTAGTCCTGCACACATATGCAGGAAAAATGATGTAACATGTTGGGATAAAGGTAAATAAATCCCTCAGGCAAAACAATTTTTAAAACTCAGGAATTCTAACACATATTTTTAAAATCTAATAGAGTAATATTCTGCCAAAAGAACATTTACTCTCTGAAGACATATCTGCAGCAGAATGATGCCTTTAGGAACTAGAAGTGCCTCATTTTTTTACCAAGAGCTTGTATATAAAGTAAAATTACACTGGAATTCCAGAGATAGTTATTAAATGTTCCTTTTGGTACGATAGCGAGGAGATGTTTCTAAAATAAAATACATCATTTTGAAAAAACATTTTTAAGGGAGAAGGTTGCTTTTAAATTTTATAGTAATCACAATTATACCTCAGAAAAAAAGGGGTTTATTTTTTCTATTTTTTTGAGACGGAGTCTTGCTCTGTTAACCAGACTGGAGTGCAGTGGTGCAATCTCAGCTCACTGCAACCTCTGCCTCCTGGGTTCAAGTGAGTCTCCTGCCTCAGGCTCCAGAGTAGTTGAGACTACAGACATGTGCCACTACACCTGGCTAATTTTTGTATTTTTAATAGAGGTGGGGTTTCACCATATTGTTCAGGCTGGTCTTGAACTTCTGACCTCGTGATCCTTCTGCCTCGGCCTCCCAAAGTGCTGGGATTACAGGCATGAGCCACAATGCCTGGCCTTCTGGTAATTTAAAAATACTCTTTCACATTAAAAAAAATTAAGCTAATTTATATACAGCAAAAGTTCACCCTATTTAGCGTACAGTTTTTTGAGTTTTGATAAAACATATACTGTTGTATAACCTCTGGTGCCCTGTGTTGACATTGGAAGTAAAATATAAAGACAGTCTCAAACCTAGATTCATTAATTACTTCAGTTTATTCTTTTCACTTATTCAGCCATTTCATGTCCTATTAAGATACTAGGCATTGGTCCTAAACTCCTGGCCTCAAGCGATCGTCCTACTTCAGTCTCCCAAAGTGATGGGATTACAGGTGTGAGTCACCATGCCTGACCTATTAATGTTCTAGGAATTGGGAATGCAAAGGAACAGAAACATAACCCTGACAACAACGAGCTCTCTGTTTTGGTGATGAGCCAGCCACCTACAAGTGAGAATGCTGTAAGATAACTCCTACAAGGGTTTTCTGTACAGATATTACGCCCACTTACCCATTTAACTCATCAAATCAAACCCATCCATCAGTACTGGGCCGACTTTACATGTTGAGAGTGCAGCTGCGGACAAGAGAGCACCTCAAACTCACAGCCTTGCTGCAGAAACAAACAGGCGAACAGCTAGAAACAGCACAGAGTGTTCTCTGTTGGGGAAGCTCAGAGATTTGTGGAGTCACGCAGAAGGAGCACTCAACATCCACTCATGGTGGGGGCCTGTGCAAAGCTGCATCTTCAGCTGAGAGTGGAGGGGAAGGCATGCTGAGAGAGGCATGAAGGCTCTTGTTGAATTCCCTTTGTGACTCCTCCAGCATAGCCCAGTCCTGGAAGGGGTTGAGGAAAACTGCACAGGGTGGTAAAAGGGTTGCTTAGTAGATTGATTTATGACTAGTTAATGATGGAGAAAATGTGTGAGAGAGTATTTAGACAAAACTACAATCCGAGGGAGCTTCTGTTTTTCATGCTCCAATCAGGCATAGAAAAATGGCTGTCCTGCCGACAGGGAGTCTGTGCTGCCACTGATCCATGTGGTGGCAGCTCCAGGAAAGTCATTTATTAGTAGGGGGAGGACAGAGAGCAGGCCTGAGTGTCTGGTACCAGCTGCCCTGCCCGGGCCCCACTGGCCCAGCTCCAGGTGCTGACAGCCAGAGGCTGAGCTTGTGATGAAGGAGACATTGGCGGGCCGGTTCCCAGCCAGCCCAGCCATGGGGTCCTGAGATAAGCTGGTCTAACAGGCTGTCTGGTTACCCGATCAATCTCCAGGCAGGCAGGCAGGCAATGGTCAGAAGGCAGCCAGAGCAAAAGGCCCCTGGACTGGAATGCTTAGTTTTGTCCAGCTCCGTTGGCCTGGTCTTCCGTATCCTTGATCATGCTGGCTGGTGTTCATGGGCTAAAAAGGGGGAGGGTTAATATAAAGGATCGGAAATTTATTGGCTTGAACGTTTATGCCCTGCTCCCTCTCCACCCCGCTATTACAAATTAACAGAGCTCTCCACCTCAAGCCAATGACTTGCCTTCAGTCCTCCTTTTCCCCTGACCACATCTTCACAGTCTCATCTGTTTTCCTGTACATCTAGATGCTGGATGCTTTGTATGAAATCAGCCTTGGAATCTAATAGACCAGGGGCTTTCAGCCTCAGTGGCTCTATTGACATCTTGGCTTACAGAATTCTGTGTTGTGGGAACTGTTCTGTGAATTATAGGGTGTTTAGGAGCATTCTTAACCTCTACCCACTAGATGCCACTAGCACCCACTCTAGTTGTAGCAACCAAAAATGTTGTCAGGCCTTACAAATGTCCCCTCGGGGGCAAAATGCATCTTGTAGAAACACTGTGCTAGACCTGGATTCTAATTCTGCTTCTGCCACTTGTCAAGTTACTTAGCCGCTCTGAGACCCAATTTCCTTGTCCATAATATATCTTCTATGTTTGTTGTAAAAATTAGAAAAATGAAAGTTGATTAATTCCTGGCATATGGTATGCCTTCCAAGTGCAGCTGATGGTACCATTTTAGTACACTGAATTTTCCTAGACAATTTATTTGTGATTCCAGATTTCTAGTGACCAAAGAGTTCAAAGAAGATTGAAGAACTGAGAGAAATTTCCTGGCTCTGTAGCCTGCCACGTGAGGAAGCTTGGCTTGGGTTGCATCACCTAAAAG